AAAAAAAAAAAAAAAAAAAGCCGCGATCGCGATCTGTGGCAGCAATTTGGCGGGAGGTCCTTTGCTCCCAGCGGGAGTGAGGGACCATCCGCCGAATTGCCGCCGAATACCTGGGCGTGCCGCCCCTCTCCGGAGCGGCCGCCCCAAGCACCTGCTTGCCAGGCTGGTGCCTGGAGCCGGCCCTGCCCCTAATCCTGCCCCTTCCCCGTTCCTCTCCCTTTCCTCACCCCCCCTTCGCTCGCCCTCTCCCCCTCACCATTTCTCTCATCCCCCCTCTGCCCTTCCCCCACCTCTAAAGCCAGAGGAGACCTCTTCCCACCAGCTGCAGGATGGACACGGTTCCCGCCACGCGCTTAGGGGTCCTTTCAAGTCTAGCCCCGATTTGCTGTACGTCCTGAGCTGCGAGGACAGTAGGTGCCATTCTCCCGGCGTACCGTGTAGTAACTGCAAAAACCGTGACACTGGGGGCCCCAAAGCACAAGATGGGTTAACAATAATAAAGGTGGGGTTCTTTTTATTTGCCGGCTGCTTTCGGCGCCTGGCTGCATGTTCTGCAGCTTTTCCCTTGCAATTCTGAAGACCAGAAATTTCTGTTTTTTAATGAAAGCTGAGATCCCCATGCAATCTCTTGATTCCAGCAGTTGGGGCTTTAGGAGAGACACCAGCTATCAGGAGGCTTGTGATAAAATCATGAGAGCTGGCACCAGGTCACATGGCAATACATACACTAGCACTGAGCTCCACTGGAGGGTGGGGTGAGCCTTTGGGGAGAAAGCAGGTCCATAGCACACAGCTATTTATTGGCTTTAACAATAAGGAATAAAACAAGATTATTAACTTTGGAAAAACAGTTGTGTTATTATGGGCCTGATCCTGAAAGGTGCTTAGTGCCCCCACATCCCAGTAAAATCACCACTCAGGTTCGGTCCCTATATACGCACTTGTGGTAATAGGGCCCATATTGGCAGAATTCATGAACGATTCAATAGCAGCAGTGAACTGTAAGTCTAAATATAGGCAGCCATGTTGGTTAGTTTCTGCTTCACCAAGAATACAGGGGGGAAATTAACGTCAAATGAAGAAGTAAACAGTAAAAAATAAAAACCCTATTAAAAAGAAATGATACTTTTGATAATGTTACACAGGTTTATACCACCCACATCAAAAGCTTTTTGCAAATTAGCTATGTCAGCCATCAGTACATGACAAGCATCAAGGTTTTGAACAGCTTCATTAACAAATTCAAAGAGCTGTAGATGTACCCCTATTAGGTGTAAAACTTAATTTTTCATTAATGAAGAGCTTATTTAAATTATGAAGTCCTTGCATGTGACCCACTCTTTTAAGCATTTATATCAAAGATGATAATGTATGGCAATTGGATTATACTAATTATAATTGTAATAAATATGTCACACAGTTTTAGAAGCCAATTGTCCAGATATTCTGGACAATTCATCTACTAAACTTGTTTCCCACAAATCTAGCTTTTCATCAATGAGACTTAATGAAAACAAACATGAAACAGGATAATTTTTAGACAATGGGCCAAATTCACTCTCAGTTTACATAGGTGTAAATCTGTAGAAACTCAATGGAGTTACACTGGTATACTGAAGAGCAGAATTAGCTCAAGATTATAAAATACTTAGCCAACTGGAAGAGCTAGTACGAATTTGTTGCGGTTGGCACTTAGGGTACCTGTGGCCTAGTTAAGCACTGGGTATTTCTTACTTCCAGAAACAGGGTACTGGACTTGATTGACCAGTGGTCTCAAATGTACGTATCTCTGATTTGATCAAGCATTCTGCATTACTGAAATGTAAACTGATTGGTAGGTAACTCTGTGAACTGAAAAATCAACAGCCACAGATGTGTTCAGTATTTAGAAACATTAAAATACCCAGAAGTAGTTTACAATATATAGTGGGAAATGAGCACAAATGTCATAGATGGGTTAGTATGGCCTGGTCTACACTGCACTCAGTAGAAGAGTTGTCTGCTCATGGATTTGATTGTGCAACCCATACTCACTTTGGTGGGCACCTTACTCTCACAGTTAATACCATAGCTCCATTGACCTCAGTGAGACTACTCAAGTGAAAAAGTGCTCACCAACACGAGTCAGAGTTGTACAGTCTTGTCCCATATATTTAGCATTGCTGTTTGTACACGGTTTCAAATGAAGAACAAGGTATGAGTGAGGAAGTGGAGCCATTCTGGTGAATATTACTCAGGGCAGGTCTACACTTAAAACGCTGTATCAGCACCTTTGCACTTAAGTGAATAGGCTCCTATGCCAACAGAAGAGCTTCTCCCATTTGTGTAGTTAATTCACCTCCCTGAGAGGCGGTAGCTATATCTCCTGTCAACATAGAACTGTCTACACGGGGGGTTAAGTCAGTATATCTATGTTGCTCAGGGGTGTTTTTCACACTCCAAAGTGACGTAGTTATACCGATATAGGTCTGTATTGTAGACCTGGCCTCAATAGCTTGGCTTAGTAGAATTGGCTTAGTCCCCTAATAATATTGCCATTCTACAATAGGTCAGGGTTCTTTGTCACCTGTTTGTTGTTTTGCTGTCTCTTTGCATATTTATTTCTCTGCTGGCATAATTTCTGCACAACTTACATCTGGATTGTTACTACTTGGGAAGAGTGTAAGGATTGTATTGTAGCAGTGCCCACATTAAACGGTAGACCCTGAAGTTCTGGTAGGAAATCTGCCTCAGAAATCAGCAAAACTTGAAGCCAGGGGGAGGTTGGTCTGCCTGAGAGCTACTGGTTAGGATATAAATGGGAGGAGTGGAGAGGAAGCAGTAAGTAAATAATGCAGCATTTCAGAGGTGACTGGAAATAGAACACTTAGAAATATTTTACAGATGGGCTCCATCTTAGCTTGAGGATTCTGAGTACAGATTTGCCTTTGTGTTATTCTTTGTTAATGTTGCTTTCCCCTCTCTTATTGTCTGTGCATGTAAAATTACACTCTTTGTTTGCTTTGCCTCACTTATTTCCTCTTGATTTTATACAATGCTATCTAGTATTTGTTTTCTTTTAAATAAAATGGGCAATTTAACGGTGGGAGAGAACAGAAAATTACTGAATTCCCAAAGATATTTTGATGTTTAGAATACGTAACAATAATACTTTGAATTTATAGATTGCATGCAATTTGAAGATCTGAGAGTGCTTTACAAACATTAAGGAATTAAATCTCACAACACCACTGTGAGATAAACAATTGCAAGTGCATTACCACCATCTTCTACAAATGAGGAAACTAAGTCACAGAGAGATTAAAGTCTCTACTTGACAAAGTCACCCACAAAACAGCATAGTGACAAACAGAACGCAAGTACTCTGACTTCCTGTCCGGGGTTCTTCTATTTTTTTCCATCTTTCCTTTCCTCATAGGTATTGTAGAAGATTTCCAAAATGTTTCTATGAGAGTTTTATATAATATCACAATGGGGAACTACAATGGTGGGACTATATGTGATTTAATCTAAATGTCTTCATGTCTTTGCAAGTCCTCTGAGTAGCATGCTACTGTGAGGGTGTGCTTTTCATATGTCTACTGAATGTTCACAACGTATATTCACTGCACATTTGAAATCATAGAATAATAGGACTGGAAGGGACCTTGAGAGGTTATCTAGTCCAGTCCTGTGCACTCATGGCAGGACTAAGTATTATCTTGAGGCCAAATGCTACTGTCCTCCACGTGATGGCAATTCTTGTAAGGCATTATGTAATAAAAGGGAGAAAATATCACTATATCCATTTTTGTCTTCAAGGAAAATATCCCAGGAAGAACAATTCTGCTGTAAGAAACTCTTGCAAATTAGAGAACATGGCAGAGGCACACAGAAAGTTTTCATATGAGATAGCATCTTATGCTATTCTCCATTCAATAGGCTTAACACATCCAGGACCTAATCCCGGCCTTTAAAATAGTGCCTGCAATTTTTCACATCTAATTTTTTGCACACAGAAATGTCAGATTTGAAGGTTCAAATTGGATGTATGGCTATAAACTGGGGAATTACATCAAACCCAGTTTGCACATACAGATCTGAATTTTTGCATACACAAAAACTTAGATGTGAAATATTGTGGGCAAAGTTTGAGAGCTTGGTTTTACTTTTAGGTATCACAATCCAGTTTTTATGCAAAAGGGAAAATATCAGATAAAACCCACAGTTGCAAGTGTTGGATATATTTCCACATGCGAACAACTTCACTCCTATCCCATACTTCCTGCTATGCATGGAATGAATGCCCTCCCAATTCCAGTTAACTAGGACATCACCTTATATTCCTCCTCAGAGCCTAAGTCTTACACAATATCCATATTTTAATTATAAGGGGAGA